ATATATATATATATAGAGTCAGCTATTTGGGATTACTTTGGATTTAAACTGGATGAAAAAGGTATACCATAGAGCCCTATGATTTCCATGATGCAGAAAGCGCAGATAGAATAAGAATAAAAAAGAAAAAGAATACTGCTCTTAAAAAAATAAACAACCGTTAAAAAGCTGAGCATATCGTCGATGGTTGATAAATTCGTCCAATCGCCCAACCTTAGTAAGGGTGTGAAAGCTAAAAGCCCCTGGTTGCATCTGGAAATGTCTGGAAACATTTAAAGGTAGAAACTCCACCGGTGGAACAAAGATGTTTTACAGTAATAAACATGGCCCTGTCCTGTTATTAAATCAATATTAAATGTGTTGCTGCCATGGAACTCAAAATTACCTTTTTTATTTTTCAAAAATCAGTATCTGAATTGTTTCCTGTGCTTCGTTGTGAATAAAAAATAGGGGTTTATGGAGTTTGTGAGTCGTTACATTTTGTCTAAACGTACATTTTACTTCTAAGATTGAAGTTGTATTTAAATAGTGAACAAATGGGTTGAACAGTTGTCACTTTTTTTTTTTACTCAGACCAAACGCTGCATTATTAAACAGCAGCCATCTTATCTCATGTTTCAGCCAGACCCCTCTGAAGCTGCTCGAGGGCACGGAGATGCTCTCTGAAGTTAATGAAGCATCAGAATATTCTTTAAACCTCAATTATGAACAGCCAATGTCAAGGCAGAGCACTGAGCCATTCAGAAACGCAGCAGGAAGATGTGGTGCCCACCCTGAAACTCACCACTAACACTACCAAGTCAAACAAAGACCCACAAACCCTTCTGTGAAGCCAGGTGCTGACAAACGAACACTGAAACGAGCTCATTTATCACATTATCAGCAAAAATAAAGTATAGTACAACTGAAACGCATTTATGTTGCGTTTAATGACACTAAAAGGCAAGTTTGCTCTGTTCCTATATGTTTTAATCCAAAGTACCAAGCTGTTTAACGCTTCAGGTCTGCTGTAGTCATTTTTTCTTTTGCTCTGTAATTTGAAGGGGCGCCACTGAGGGTCTGCACCGCACTTTAGGAGGAGGAGGGAAGCTGCCTGTTCTCCCTTTAACCTGACACTGTTGCTGTGGGAACCAGCAACATGCTTTTAAACCTTGTACGGTCCCCTCTGGGAAATTCAGTACTTCTGCCATGTAACCTTATAGAACACTCGCAGCTCGTATCCAGCCAGCTTATTACTTCTGAGGGTACAGGAAGACGACCAGGTGCTTTGTGATATTTAATATTCAGGACGTGTTTTGCCACAAATGTAACTCCACACATTAAGAACGGAGCTGTTTAAAGGCTGTCAAACTGTCAAGCAGAAGAAAAAAAAAGTATTCTGTTGTTGTGCTTGTTTAAATAGAACTGAATTATATTTGTATTATTTATGAAGGGAAATACGTCATTTTAGTGTAAATGTGGGATAAAGTTTCACAAACTGTTCAAAGAGGAGAAGCAGGTTTGTCCTCTCCTGAGATGAACGTTAACTTGTATCGGCACGTAGAAGAACACAGCATGAACAGAGACAACAGTTTGATGGATACGACGCAGAGCCACGCCTTCTCAGGAACATTTCCAGATCAATAGTTTTCTGCAGTTCCTCCTACTTTTCATGCTTGCCTCTTTCTGGAACTTCCCTCTGATTCCACCCGATTTGCTTCTGTGCTGCGACTGAAACATTTCCTGGTTTCGGGATTTTAATCTAAAAATAGTTAATGATTTGGAAAGCTCGATCAGCCCCACCCACCCATGAGTAAGCAACCTTCCTGCTGGCATTGCTGACTATCATTGCAGATGTTCAAAAAGTGGTAGGGGTATGAGAGGAAACTGTTGTTTTTTTTTCGGGAAAAAAAAACTTAAAATTCAAAAACCCATCCTGTCCTTCTTATTGTCAGTTTCAAGCTTGTCTCCGACCAACACAGCAAGATCCACTGAGTTGATTTGTTGAGCTAATTGTTCAAAATCTGTGCCTACTTTTTAAAAGACAACTGATAATACACACGTGCTTCACCATGATAGGGTTGTAGTACCTGAGTGGTACTACACTTTTTGATGGTCTTGGTCTTGTCTCGGACATTGAGGACTCTGGATTTTATTTTAAGACCAGTCAAGACCACGACTGTGAAAGTATCACTAAACGGCCAGATTATTGTCCAATTTGTTTGTTAACATCTTTGCTTTCATTGGATTTAAAACATCCTGATTCAAACCCAAACCTGACTCATTGTTATTTATGTATTCTTGTTACTGGCTGTCACCCATTTATTTATTTATTTATTTATCTATTTCTGGTTATGATCTTAACTTGGTCACACCCACCCTTGGTTTTGGTCTCGACTTGGTCCAGGCCCTAAAAGTCTTGGTCTTGTCTCAGTCTTGAGTTAGGTGGTCTTGACTACAACACTACTATCCCCCCGTCCTGAGCCTGGATCTGGTTCTGCTGGAGGTTTTTTCCTGTTAAAAGGAGTTTTTCCTCTCCACTGTCTCCACTGTGCTGCTCAGGATGAAAGACTGTGATGAAGTGATTCAACACAATCTGCTGGCTTCATTAGATTTATTGTTTTTTTTGTATGCAGTACCCTGAGATGACGTTTGTTAGGACTTGGCGCTATATAAATAAACTGAATTCTTTTAAAACAACCGATAATACACACTTTATGAAAATGTGATTCCAGTTTCAGAAGAAAAACCTCGACTACTTTTTCCCGTGGGAGAGAATAACTTATGGTTTTGTGCTTTTGAATCTCTCTGGAAAAGCCCTAAAATCACCATAATGACTATTCAATGCACAGTTTTATGGCTCCTAATTGTGTGATGAGTAATAGAAGAGAGTATTTATCACAGAAACATTTGCATTTGCAGGCAAAATGACTTTTTTTTACCCGCAGAGAAGTGATTTCAGAACTCGCTTTTACCTGCAGCTTAACAACCTGCAAGACTCTGAACAGCTGCAAATGCTACAAAACAAAACAAGAGAGAGACATACTGCAACTGAACGCACTCAAGTCATGTGCCCACGCACTGTTCACTTCACTCACACACACACACAAATAACTAAATTATGCAGACAATGATGAGAATAAACAAAAAGACTGCTGGGACAACAGAGCTATGGTTTGTTAATTTGAGCGATCAATGAAAAACAGAAATAGAAAATTACTTCAGAGCCTTTGCTTTGTCTTAACATAAGAGTTACAGAGATTTATGTCAAACAGTCCATCTCTTTACAGCACACTAACTCAATCCAGTCAGACGCACACTGATTTTCTGACAAAAGCTTTATTTCCTCAGCTTCCAGTGTCTAAAGGTTAAGCTCGTTGGGGATTTCTAACTAGTTGCAGGTAAAGTCGTCACGTCCTCTAAAGCAGCTTTGTTCGAGCCCTTATCTCTGTGGAAGGAAAGGTACGCAGGGAAAAAAACAAAAAGAGGACACAAACAAACAAAATTGTAGGAGAACAGCTGTTCACAACAAGCGCGGCGATTTTAAGAGACACATGAGTCAACATGCAAAGCGATGCGAGTTAGAACACGCCAGTTTCCCAGAAACCAGAGCAGTAAGGGAAGGAGGAGGCGGGGGGTGGGGGGGGCGTCTTTCCAGTTCAACCAGACCAAAACTGTCACAGTCTCCCAATACCACACACACAGCTGCTACCAATCACAGGAAGGATCCCCCTTCGCTTGGAGGATGCGTCGCAGGATCTGCTTCATAATGCAGCCGGGGGGCTTTGAGTGCACAATAAAGTCCCTCATGGATCAGGACCAAGAGGAACCGCAGTTCATGTGTGCCAGCAATTATGTGGAAGGCTAGGAGACAGAATCAGTTTTGTTCAGTTTCCTTTTTTTTTGTTCTCCATTAGAAAAACAGGAGTCGAGAAAAGAAGCTTGGCTGCAGCAGAGATGCTGCGTGACGTGAGCATCAACACAGCACCCTCACCTAAAAAAAAATAAACACCCCACAATTTCCTTGATGTTGTTTTAGGAGGCGATAATAGACCTGCGTTAGTTTGCTCCCACACGTGTGCTTGTCACGGGCCAGGATGGGAGAGGGTGGTTGTTAGCGTGTGTGGGGGAGCTCTGATACTCAAACAATGAGGGGATTATTTCTTCTAACCTGCCACAAAAAAACAGGCTTCCACGTAGGAAACACAGAGATTTGCTAAAATCTGACGCAAAACCTTTTTATTTTATCGATGAGTGTGGGGGCTACCGCATTGATGAAGCCATGCCAGAGTTCCAGAAGAGAGAGAGAGAGCGGGAAGTGACGAGCGCGCCGCCCTTACCCGTGATGTTGACGTCGACGATGCCGGTGCGAGTCCCGATGCCGTTGGTGGCGTCGCAGATGTAGGTTCCCGCCAGGTCGTAGGTCACGGGCCCCTTGAAGGACAGGGTGTTGTTCTTGATCTCCGCGCTGCTGGGCAGGGAGCCGTTCACGCTGTGGCGAGAAAGAGAGGCGACAATGCAGACTACATCAAAAAAAAAAAAATGAGGGAGAATTCCTCCAGACCATAACAACAAAAACACAACAACAGATAAAAAATAAACCTCCCGATGCAGCAAAGCAATTCAAAACACACAAAAATACAGTCTCTCGTGCAAAACAGGCCTGCATGTGGGGGTGAGATAAATACCACGAATATATGACAGCCTGGTATTTCAGCTGTCATCCATCAAGTCCAAACTAAATTATGAGGACAGGGACTCCCAGCAGGCCCAAACAGGTAAGAAATAGCTGATGCTTAAGGATGGGCTGCTTCAGCAGGTGGAATACAAAACAGACAGTGGTGGTGGTGGTGGTGGTGGTGGTGGTGGGGGGGGCTTCCTCATCTACAGCACAGCTCAGATGCTTGAACCTAAAACTCAGGGGAGCTGTCAGGAGAGGCGGCCGATCAAGCGATAAATGCAGAATCTACCCAACGCCGGGCCGCCATCGAGAGGCGCCGGCCCCTCCCTCCATCTCGGAGGCTGTTCGCCTTCACGGTTCAGCGTCCGTGCCGAGTTCGGACCCGCCCGTGTCCTTTGATCGGGCCAGAGCTCGTGAAGGCAGCAGCCCTCCACTCTATTATCTCCACCTTTATGGAGCCCCCAGGGCTGGGGGTGGGTGAAAAAAAAAAAAAAAAGGTTTCAACTTTCGCGACGATTAGCAGCTTCCTGACGCCTTCCGCTCTATCAGCCTCATCAGCGGCTGTGAATGGGCTCAGCTCAGGCAGAATTACAAATACAATCGCGATCACGCTGAATGAGGACGCTGCAAAGATGTTCTTTTTGTCACTCCTGGGTCAGAGGAGCACTTAGAGAGGAGCTAATGTGTAAGAACATTAAAAAACAATATGGTGCTTCATTTAGTGAAATGAGAGAAGAAACCCAGGATGAGATTACAGAGGGGGAAACAAAATTAGGTCACAAATCAGGCACTTGAGATTTAACCGAACAGGCTTTTAACAAGGTACTTCAATGACAGCGTGACATAATGTCAACGCAACAACTGTCTTTTACATGTTGAAAAATAGTTTAGGAATAAAAGTAAAGTAGCTGAGCTAGAGTGATTTTTTTTCCATCGGCCACCTTGGTGAAGCAATCACAATGGAGGCACAAACAGCCCTCGATACAGTGTGTCATGACTCAATAATCAGTTAACTTGTGAGCCTCTATCAAATGCTGAGTTCTGCAAAGCCCAATTGATTTGCTGCAGAAATGAAAGGCTTGCAAACCGCGATTCACCACTGGTTCTGCCGCGACCAGCCTTGTCTGCATTTGTGAAAGATTTGTGCGTGTCTGTGTTGTGTGCATGAGTGGAGCCTGAGGGGCAGCAAAATGAAAGCCTAACAAACAGCTTGAGAGTGATACAGATTCTTTGAGGACTGGCTGGGGCTCCTCGTGTGCGCAAGGCTTAGTGTGGAGGCTGCATCAGTCTGACTTCCTGGTTTCAGTAGAAACAGCGTGCTTTTTTGAAAGTGAAAGTAAATCTTGAAAAAAAAGCTTTTATCTTTGAATATCTGAAAAAAATACAAATTATTCCTAAAATATACTTTAGCTTTCCTTCTTTCTTTATACCAGGGCTATTCAACTAAATTGCTCTGGGGGCCGGGGTTACTCAAAGATCACAGCTCGGGGGCCTGAAAGTCATTATGCTCCGGTAGGTAGTGCTGGGCGGTATACCGTTTTGTACCGAATACTGGTTTTTATTTTTGTTATGATACGAAATTTCTGAATACGGGACATTCCGGTTTAAATAGCGGAACGTTTCGTTGCGGTCACCAGTGAACTGTTGTTTCCCGGGGAACATTTTTCCTTGTTGCACCGCTAAGTGCGTTAGCATGCTAATGTTCGGAGCAGCTAGTTGCAGCCGCGGGTGGCGATTCTGCTGCTTATATTGATTGACGTTTAAAAAACATCCCGTTTTCGCCGTCGCTGAATATAGTAAACACCTCTTCAGTGACGTGCACAGTTAGATTTAACGCAGTTAGTTAATATGGAGACGTTATGCTGATGGAGACTTAACGTGGTTTTATTGTGAAAAGCCTGCAGGAAGTAATTCGTAGTGGAGTTGGAACTGACTGGTGTGCAAGGTGAGTCGTGCTGATAAARTTTAATAAATAACATAAAACAATAAACCCGATCATAATCTTTTCTTAACCCTCGTCCTTCACGACTGGACCAAAATGCATGACTACTGTCTCCAACCACCAGTCAGAGAAGAACAGACAGAGGAGGGAAACAGAGACACAGACAGAGGTACAGTAAAAGAAAAAAACTCAATAAGCAGGGTTTGTACATTTTATTATCAGCTGAGCTGTGATGAAAAGAAAAATACCGTCAAATACCGTGAAACTGGTGAAAATGTTGAAAATACCGTGATGTAAAATTTAGATCATATCGCCTAGCTCTACCGGAAGGGTCTTTTAAAATTCATTTTCTTGCATTGAAGCATCAATTTTAAATTGATTTGATTGAAATATATTTTATACTAAATCAAGTTACAAGGAAAAGAAAATACAAAATAATAATAATAATAATAGTAATAATAAATTGGGGGTGGGGCATCATTGATGGGCTGGATGAAAGTCACCAATGGGCCAGACGTGGCCTGCGGGCCGCCACTTGAATAGCCCTGCTTTATACACACTGTGTTTGCTGTGTTCACAGTTTGAACTGTTGACAATCATACAGAAGAAATCCTACAACAATCTTCTTTTAAAGAAAAAAATGTCTAAAACAACATAAAAAACACCTCCAACAGTTATTTCATTCACTTATGCTCATCTTTTATCTTTGTGCACATTTCCTGTTCTTGTCCTCTCTGTGATCAGTTTAATTTATGCACTCTGGCTCAAATAAACAGCGACAGCAGCCAAATCCAAACGCCCGATTTAAACAGTTTAAATGTTTAGCTCCTGCATGCAACATTACATTAGCTGAAAGGTTAAATGGTGTTGCTCATCTTGTTTTATTGAAGTAAACTAATTCCTGTTGACTAAGAAAGCAAATCAAACAAGACAAATTCCCTTTTCTGCTAAAATTCAGCGTGGATGCTAAGTGCTAAGCTAAGAACACTTACTGAACACTAATTCACACTATTTTCTTTTAAGTAAGCTGAAAGGGAAAACAACCCCCCCTCACTGGTTTACAGATAATAAATTAGAATGCAGGGTGTGGTCTGAAGGTGGCAGTAAAGAACATGCTGTTAATTCGTTAAAGATACTGTCCAGCTGATAAACAACTGCAGAGGAAATCCATAAAAGGAAGACAGAGATGGCTCTGCTTTAGAAATAACCCTTTTATCTGCGAGGATATTTGGGAAGATGTGTGCCAGCTCAGACTGAAAACAGCTGGTGAGTCATATCTTTTAGACTTTTCCAAGTCTGACACGATTTGCAAGTTATTTTTATCGTCGGGTGCATCAGGTCTTCTTCTGAAGAGACAAAAATCACCTCAACACTCTCTGCAGACTGCAGGACAAGAGTGGGACTCACAAAAACAGTTTAGGAAAAACTCAAACACCCTAAAAGAAAAATCAGCTGGGAGCCAGGCTATAAAGCTTTCAAAGGTGGGGTATTATGTAAAATCACAATTTTTGAGCTTTATATTATGTTATAATGTTATTTCCTCATTAAAAACATAACCAGAGTGTTGCTTTGACTCATTCATGCATGTCTGAGAGATCCTCGAGTCTCCTGTGGTAGCCTAGCCTGCTAAAAACCAGCCTCTTGTCCTACGCTTTGCTCCATACAGAGGGTCTGGACTCTCAGCTAGTGCAAAATAACTTCTTGCTGGAGGCGTGGCCTCTGTTGAAGTTTAAATTTTTAATTAAAGATGTACCCAATCGTTAACGTTTGGCCGTGACGTATGCAGAACACCAACTTGACTGTGAAGGAGGCTAAGCTAAGAAGCTAACCGGAAACTACGTGCGCTGTAAACAACCATCCCCTACTGAGAGGAGAGAAGCACCGAGGTGAACCAGACGGCTGTGAATGAGTGCTGCAGGCTTTGTGAGACTAATTTAATTTAATTTGGAAGTCTTGTCAACACAGACCGGCTTCATCCACTTCCTCCACTGCCATTGCTAAACTGCAGGCAGACTAAAACGCTGCAGAAAATAAACGTCGTTATTTAAAACTCCTCCTTCTGTTCGCTGATTGGCCCAGTTGAAATTCCCGGAGAAATCTGTGTATATGAGAGAAATCCCAGATGGAGCAGAGAAGGGGAACTATAATAGAGCAGGACTGTGTAGGAGGGCAAGGGACCAGGCTAGTGGTAGCTAGGGCTAGGCCATATCATATTCATAATAATACCGGTAAAAAAAACACTTGCCCGGGAAAATAAATTATACCATGATATGCTAATTTTATGACTTTGCCCATGTCGGAGAACCTGCTTGTTTTCTGTTGCGATCTTGTTAAAGCCTCCCAGTCTGATACAGGTTTAAACAGACGCTGCTTTCAACAAATCAAACGAACCCCACAGCTTTATCCAATCAGAGCAGAGCAGGGCGGGTCTTTCTGACGTCGGTGAAGCTGCAGGATAAACACCGGTCAGCCTGCAGCTCCTGTCCTGACTGAACAAACCCCGTCCTCACACTTCACCCCCGAGCTACCCGAGACATTGGTATCTAAAATCTAACACACTATAAGTTTGTGTTCAGAGCTTTGTTATTTAACATATATGTCCAACTTTGCTCATGTGACCAAACTCATCTATTTCTTTCTTTCTCTTTGGAAAGGCTAGGAGGTTCTTAAAGAGACAGAGGCACATTTCCAGTCGTTTAGATAAACTATGATGCAAAGTCTAATTTATTTGCGATACAACAGTTTTTTTTACAACATATAAAGGTAAAATAAGTTACTTGACTGTGGTATAAAGTTGAACTATGTGCCTGAAAAATTCATAATACCCCCCTTTAAGAGAAAAATCTAGACTTTAAGAATGATCTTTTTACTTAAGCAAACAAGTAAATTCTTGGTGGTAAATAAAAAAGTGCACCTACAAAAGGATGGATGCACTTTGTTACAGCTTCAAACGAAAGCGATGCAATCGCAGGACTGGCTGTACTTTCACCCAAACTGGGATTTAAATATCATTCTAGAATGCCATTAAGTCTGAGTTTCACACACTGCCACTGGCCACTGAAGAAATTAACCAACAGCTGTCTTTATGTGGCCTTTAATCAACATGACTAATAGAATCTCATTTTCACAAGAAAGATAAGCAAGCAAGCTAATTAGAGCCGAGTTTGAAGTAATCGCACTGTGAAATGAAGTAATAACAAAAACACACTTTTTATTTATGGAGTCTTTTGTCTTTGACAAACTGAAAACGTCTTTTGGAAAGCAACAAGGTTCCATATCTGTTAGAAAATAGCTTTTCAAGGATGAAAAAAAAGAAGAGAAAAACAAAGTCTGAAGTTTTATCACAAAAGAATTCAGCTTTGAGGAATAAAGAAGAGGCCCTCCTACAAGCTTTTTACTCTACTGGTACCCACTCAAAAACTACAGTATGCTCTTCAAACAGACTCTGCACTCTATAAACAAAAGACTTCAAAAGTAAAAAGCCACACATTGTCCCTTAAATACATTAAGTTTTCTTTTTATTTTGAAAAAACACTTTTGGAATTAATCTAAGATAAATAATAATAAGATTTCCTTAAGGACTTTCTGTGTCAAAGCAATTAAATAATAAAAAATGTGCCAACTTGCAGATGATAAAAACAACAGGAAGTAGCAGCAGGTAAACACACCGATCCAGTGGGCAGTATTTGTATCACAAACAGAACAGTGGGATGGAACTGGCTGCACCTCCTCATGTCTGTGTGTGACGCAGTTCTGCCGAGCGGCTCCAGAACGTTCCATCACAGCCTTGTTCTGACCTCCACAGTGGAGCCCAGGGGAACCTTCACAACAGATTTGGCATCTCATTTTCAGTGCAGCAATGGCCGTCCTCTCCTATCTGTCAGCTCTGTGCCCTCGTCTTTCTAGATCACATCTCCTCAGCCGCCTCCTCTTCCCCTCCTATCGCGCCTCGCTTTCAGATAAATACAAAAAAAAAGCCCAAACAGGCTGAATGTACTCTCTTGGCTGCCTTCTTCAGCTGCCGCGTACACATCAGCGCTCCTGCCTATGAAAAAAATATAAATGCAGAAGAAAGGAAAAGAGAAAAATCTGCCCGTGTCTCATTAAAATCTCATCGTTTGTGGAGTTGATACAATGAGGGCACAGCAGTCTATTAATTCTCTCAGTTCTGCGACACAACTCTCACCTCACCTTTAGAGCAAAAAAAACGCCACTTTTCGTGTCACTAATTAGCACAACAGCACTTGAATTATTAGCCTTAATGCGATTGCTTTAAAAGAGAAAATGCTCGATTTTTTTTCTTGCTTTGAAACTTTGCATTGAGATGTGTCGATTGCAACAATTAATTGTTATTCCTGTTGCATTCCTCAGAGCTATTTAACAACATTGGTAATCTGATATCTCCATGTTTGTACGTCTGCTTCTGTTGGGACTTTCTGTTATCCTATCTGAGAGAACAATCCTGATCTCAGCCCTGCGTCATGCTGGCTCACTTCAAAACTCCTACTTCTGCCCTCTTTCCTTTCTGCGTAAATTGCTGCCTCCTTGCTCACAGGAGAACAAAAAAAAACAGCAGAAACGTTAACGCTTCCTCGCCCCTCTACCTGCATGCTGGTCCTTAGTGTTCAAAGGAAAACAGGCAACACAAAGCAAAGTGTGTTCTGTTTGCATTTATCTGCCAGTATCTGTGACCATCAGGCAGATAGGGGTGTGTGTTGCAGTTGTAATGGACCCATTGTCCTCTGCCTCGGGTTTTATCTTCATTACACATTTTACAATAAAGCCGAGACACATTTCCTTAGACGAGAAAGGAAGCTGGTGTGTTTTTGTCTTTGATGATTGCTTTATAGTATATGAAAACACTGTGAAAGTGCACGTTTGTTCAGCATTCCTATTCTGTGACATTACCTTTCTCTAACCCCCTCTCTACGACATTCCCCCGTAAGAAACCTAAGGTGGGAGAAGCGGCACGTAGGCAGGCATGCCTCGTCCTCTGAGCTTTGAAAGGGTTTTGTTACGGTTTAGTCAGACTCACAGTTTCCACTGGTAGATCGTGACAGGGGGGTTAGCGTCAGCTTTGCAGGTCAGCTTCACGTCCTGGCGGTTCAGGTACCAGTTCCCGTCAAACCCTTCGATCTTCACGCTGGGTTCGTCTGCAAGAAAGGGGCGCTGACGTCAGTTCACCACGTCAGGGTCAGAAAACTGGACCTCTGCTGGAGCACAGCACGACTTCAGAAAATGTTTGTACTGAAATTAACGCGTCTTTCAAACGATTGAATCATCACAATTAAGTGTTTCTTTGATAAATCAAACAAGCAAGCTAATAAACTAATACTTAGTGCATCTGCTAATTCATATCTGCTCCTGCCAAAGGATTAAAACTAGGTAACTCACCAGCTAATCTTCTAGACATTCACTTCCATCTGCTTTTGCTGCACATCAATTAAAACAGCTAAAGTCAATAAAAAAGCCTGAAAAACAATTAGAAATTTCCTTACAAAGCAGTAGAAAAGTTATCTAAATGTTTTTTTTCTTTGTAAATATTTTTCTTTGATTCAGTTCTGTTTGTACAAATTAAAAAATAAGGTTTTGTCACATGGTTACCTATATGTCACGAATTTTGTTGCAATAAAATTCAATTCAAATCATTTTCTTTATATAGTGCTAAGTCAGAACAAACGTGGTGTCAGAGCACTGTACACAAAAATACAATAAATCTAAAGAAGCCAGCAGATTGTGTTGAATCACTTCATCACAGTCTCCCATCCTGAGCAGCACAGTGGCGACAGTGGAGAGGAAGAACTCCCTTTTAACAGGAAGAAACCTCCAGCAGAACCAGACTAAGGACGGGAAGCTTCGACCCGCTGGGTTTGGAGGGACAGGAAGAAGACACAGAAGGACTGGTCCAGGTGCATTTTCTAAAAAGCAAAACATGGTTCCTTACACTGGACGTTGAGGACCACGCTGTCTGAGATCCTGTCGTTCCGGTACGTCACGATACACGTCAGCTTCTGCTTGTGGGTCTCCCGGCTCGGTACGATCATAAAGTGGCTCCGTATTGTCACCGTCCCGTTCGGGTTGCGGGTCTCCTGGAAAGTGGCTTCGCCTTTCAACCTCGTGTCCCATTTGATCACGCTCTGGGGCTTCCCGTTGGCCGACACGCACGTCGCGACCGTCGTCTTGCTCCGTTGCCCCCTCGCCACGATGGTGGGGGAGGTGAGCGTCATCCGCGTCATCGGTCGAGCTGTGGAGTGAAACATATTCAAAGATTGTATTAAAAAAAAAAGTCTCACTGGAGAGGATCACCATCTAATTCAGCTACAATCAAACTCTAAAGTATATTAAAGTAAAAGGGCTGAGATGAAAACAGTGTGAACTATGAAGAGGTTCTGCCTCATTTCCTTCCTCAAAGCCAAATCAGTCATCAAAGCTGATGTAGAACACACTTGTCTACCTAAATGTGCAGTTATCCACACTCGATTCTTTGTAAGATGCCAATTATCGGTCTACTTTTGGAGCATCACAAAGCAGGCTTGAGCGTGAGCGAACACACAGCTGAAGGAGAGGTATCTTTGAACACCGCTGGTTGGTTATCTGTTGGTTCCTGACGTTCACTGAGCTGCCCGAAATATCTCAGTAACATTTAATAAGCTGAGAAAAACACTCAGGGAACAGGGACTAACACAGAGTAAGAACTTTTTTTTTTGTTGTCGTTTTTGGTTTTTCTTTATGGTAGTACTTAAAGGAGACATGATGCTTTGAAATCCTTCTTTTTCACATTTAAATCCTTCATTTGGGGTCCATATAAAGTAGGGTTGGGCGTAATCGTATCGTGTGCAGTTAATCTTCAAAAAAACATTCATCGATTATTTTTTGGCACTTGACGACTAATACAATTAATGATTCCAATATTGAATCTATTAATAGTCAGTTACAAGCAGATCTTCAGACATTTCATGGTTGGCGTCAAGATAATCTTTTGTCAATTAATGTTAAAAAAACTGTGCATGTATTTTTCCTCACCCAGGAGACGTTTCAATATAACAAATCAACTCACTTTTTTAAACAAACCCCTTGATATTGTCACTACCTACAAATATCTTGGAATTATTTTGGATTCTCATTTGACTTATCGTGATCATGTACAAGTCTCAAACACTAAGTTGAAACAGAAATTATACGTTTATTCAAAAATTAGATCCAATCTGACATCTTCTGTTTCAAATATCAATCTTCATGCCATTATACTCTCAACCATGTCATACTGTTTACCTGTTTGGTCTCTTACAACAAATGAAATCATAGAACCCATAGTTAGGCTCTACAACAGGGCCTACAAAATTCATAAAAAACTTCCTGVTTGGACTCATCACTGTACAGTTCTTTCATTGTCTGATGCCTTGACTTTTCAGAATTATGTTTTGTATAGTGGTATTAATTTATATTTTCAGATCTTCCAAGGTCTGTTACAAAAGGACAACTGATATTACCAACTTTTAAAAACTGTTACGGCCAGAGGTCTTT